CCCAACTAGATGTCAGGCATTTAGTGCCTCTGGTCTCATGCTCTGGAATACTCTTCCAACAGAGATTCAGCCGGTGTCAGTTGTTTAATTTCCTTTTTTACACAAACTGGTCATTCTTGGGCTTTTTTTGTATTGTGTTTTTTATGTTATGCACCTCTTTGATATTTTATGGGTGGGTGGTATGTGTGCATGTGTGAGTGAGTGTGTGCATTCTCTCTCTCTCTCTCTCTCTCTCTCTCTCTCTCTCACACACACACACACACACACACACACACAAAATCATAGGTAAGTTCCATACTGGCACAGGTCCCACTTCACCTTATATGGTGGCTCCACACATTGGCTATTAGGAATCACAAGAAAATATCTTACTGCAGAACAGTAATTATATTAAGATGCTTTGGTAGGAAATCTGGATATGTATTTTTTTCTAAATGCTGAAAAGATCTTGTGGGAAGTAACTACAATTTTGTTGGAGCACTCCAGCATAAAATTTAATTTGTGGAAGTGTGTGGATTCTGCTGTCGGTAGCTGCACACACTAAATCCTCTGGATATTAATGTTCTGTGATGGTATAATTCTTCCATATAGAACTGTATTTTGTGTTGGCTCAAAACTGAAGATGGGGAAAATACCTCGATTATTATGTCTAGAGGTCCTAAGCCCCATGCATTTATCCTTTAAATATGAGCAAAGTTGTAGCTGCCTTAAAAAATGTTCTTAACTATTTATTTTAAACATATAATTGAAATGTGATCTATTCATTCTTTGTGTTTCTAAAAAATAAAAAAAAAAAATGCATGCACACACAGTTCAACCATTGCACCAGCAATCACCATTACTTTAAAATGACATATTATTCAATGATATAATACTTGAAGTAGATATTTGGAGAGGATGCTTTTGGTACTATAGCTCTGCAATTTGGCACTTGCTTATTGCAGATTTTTTGGCAGGGAAAAATATATAGATTTGGCACCTTCTTAGCCTACCAATAGATTATCACCAAAACAATCTTCAAAAATTAAATTCTGTGAGTTGATCATGTTGCCTGAATTCGTTTCAGTTTGGAAAGATGAAGGTCAGTCAAAGTCAAAAGTGTTGTAAATGTTTACAGAATATTGAGGTGTGTAATAGAAGACAAGTGCAATATGTGAAATATGAAAGAAACTCTCAAATAAATTATGGTTCTATTAAAGGAGTAGTTGCAATCTCCCAAGTAAGTGATAAAATAAAGAACATCTGTTCCACTTTTTAACAGCATTGTGGTCTGTACACTTTAGGGAGTTGTTTTCATTCATTGCGAAAAAACTATTTGCTTGCTTCACAACGTCCTGAAAGTGTGCGGTTAAGTTCCTCACACTTGCAACATTGCAATATGGTTACAGCAAGAAGAGGAGTATTTGGTATATTGAATTATTTTCATAAATTGTAGCATCTTGCAAGTAAATGAATAAGCATAGAAATTCTAGAACCTGTGGCATAATGCACCAAAACAAATGTGCACCGACTGCTCTGTCTTAGATTTAATGATTACTTTTTGCAATTTTTCTGAGGTCAGTGTTATTTTTCTTCCCTACAGAACATCTAATAGGCAGAATGCTTTGGAGGCTGAGCTGAAGGCAGTGCATGCCTTGCTCAAAGACCTTGAAAGTTTCCTCAAGTGGATACAAGAAGCAGAAGCTACAGTTAACGTGCTTGCAGACGCATCACAACGAGAACGCGCTGTTCAGGACAGTGCTTCTGGAAGAGAACTGAAAAAGCAGATAGAGGTAAGAGCATGACAAGTTTGTGTGTGTTAGTTAAAGTAGTTAACTTGCCTTTACGTTTAAAATGCTAAAGCCAGATTGCAATAAATAAAAACAACAATAACATGCAATTAATAATGAGTCCAATGCCTGCTGAAGAATAAAGGCTGCTGCCACAGTAATGGAGGACCATCAGCTAAGGGATCAAAATGAGCTGCTAAATCTGAGTGTGTATTTTAAAGAAAATTCCACAAAGTAAATGTTTTTTTCTCCATAAACCTTGTTTAATAAATCTGTACTTATAAGTTACAGTAATTTTAATCAAGTATTCCCCAAATCTCTAGCCCATTGGGCCTCTTCACAAGCATTTCGGTACTTTCTAAGTAGGGATGCTGCAAATCAAGAATCAGCGTATCATGAGGTCTTACATATCTCACACCAGCCTAAATTTTGCCTCAGGAATCTCTCAGAGACATAGAGCTCTTATATGGACCACCTAAGCTTTCTTCCTTTTTTCTCCCACTTCTTTTCATTGTCAGATAGGAAGGAATCAATAAGTAAACTTCGCTGATTTTTAGACATAGGCTTTGAAGGAGAGGGATCATTTCAGCAATACGGTTTTCTGCAATATAGAAGAGATTTCAGTAAATTCATACTAAAAGAGCAAATGTACATTTTTGTGAAGTTTTCTCTTGGTCTTGTTAGTATTCATTTTTTCAGTAAGAGTTACCTGTTTTGTTTCTGGCTGTTCTGAAGATACATAATTATAATGTAGCTATCCTTTATCTACAGTGGTACCTCAGGTTAAGAACTTAATTCGTTCTGGAGGTCCGTTCTTAACCGGAAACTGTTCTTAACCTGAAGCACCACTTTAGCTAGTGGGGCCTCCCGCTGCTGCCGTGCAATTTCTATTCTTACCCTGAAGCAAAGTTCTTAACCCGAGGTACTATTTCTGGGTTAGTGGAGTCTGTAAGCTAAAGCGTCTGTAACCTGAAGCGTCTGTAACCTGGGGTACCACTGTATTAGCACCTATGGATTTCCCAGTTTATTCTTATACAGTGGTATCTCAGGTTACAGACACTTCAGGTTACAGACTCCACTAACCCAGAAATAGTACCTCGGGTTAAGAACTTTGCTTCAGGATGAGAACAGAAATCGTGCTCTGGCTGCGTGGCGGCAGTAGGAGGACCCATTAGCTGAAGTGGTACCTCAGGTTAAGAACAGTTTCAGGTTAAGAACGGACCCCCATAACGAATTAAGTTCTTAACCTGAGGTACCACTGTATTTAAACCTCTGAGCTCTCTAACCCTCAACTAGTCTTAAACTCAAAACTACTGTTGACCATGAGGGACGCAGGTGGCACTGTGGGTTAAACCACAGAGCCTAGGATTTGCCGATCAGAAGGTCGGTGGTTTGAATCCCAACAACGGGGTGAGCTCCCGTTGCTCGGTCCCTGCTCCTGCCAACCTAGCAGTTTGAAAGCATGTCAAAGTGCAAGTAGATAAATAAGTACCGCTCCAGCGGGAAGGTAAACAGCATTTCTGTGCGCTGCTCTGGTTCGCCAGAAGCGGCTTAGTCATGCTGGCTACATGACCCGGAAGCTGTACGCCGGCTCCCTCGGCCAATAAAGCGAGATGAGCGCCGCAACCCCAGAGTCGGCCACGATAGATGGTAAAGGAAGAGTGAGCAGCTAAGAATTGGCTCAGAAGTTTTGAATGCTGAAAATAAATTGCATGATGGTTTTTATAACTGTCTCAAAGTTGATAAAAGGACAGATAAACTTCAAATATTGTTTGGAGAATGAATGGGGGTGTCGTTCAGTATAGTATTATTACTAAACACATTTCTGATCTCATCACTGAGGTATTGGAAGGAAATGGGACCAGCCTTATTTGCTTGGCCACTGTGAGAGAAGGATGCCAGACCAGATGGTCCATTGGCCTTATCTAGCAGGCCTCTTTTTACATTCATATGTTCTGTAAGAGCTATTTTCCTTGATTGCTTAGTGGTATATTTGGGAAACCAAGGGCAGGTAGGTGTCCTCTTTTGAGGCTGTTGTACCCTTGACTTTAAAGCTCAGGAAGCTGAATAGCAAACTTAAAACATGTGAAATTTCCTCTAAATTGTGAGGGGGAAATTTAATATACTTCCCTTATAATTATGGAATCATTGTTTGCCCTTCTTGCATTATGCGACTCCTTCATAGTTATTTCCATTTTACCTGAATATTTTAATACATTTTCTACTTGAATAATTTCCCTCCATTACGTGCTATAATAAAGTCTCTCCCAATGTAGAAATAAATGGGTTTAGTCATGTGCATGCAGTTTCGAGTTCATGGCAAACCCTTTTGATGGTCAACAAAGTTTGATTTGTTTTTAGTGAGTGAGAACTTGTTAATCATAAACGTGCAGAACTAACAATGCAGGCATTCCTTCAGAGCATTTGCAGCTAAAACTTAAGCATTTTTGCTCTGGGACTGCAAATGCAAAGGAAACAGCAACTGAAAAATGGAGGCACAACTGCTCGATCTCTAGCAAATTGTCCCCCCCCCCAACTGTTTAGAAGTGGCAATGAACTGAATCATTTATTGAAGTGACCCTTCACTTGGCAGTGGTTACATACAGTGGTTTCACTGCCCCCTCCCCACCCAATTCCATCTTCAGCCTTATCCTATGACTATAAATTCTCTCTTTCAAGAATGCACAACTAACTCAACTGGTTGCCTGGAGGTGTGATGCTTTTAGAGGTGTTAATGGAACAGTGCATGAACCTGGAGGTTTTCCTTTATTATCCTTTGGATGCTCTAGCTCCAGCTTGAAGGTTGTATGTGCCAACATCCTCAGTGAAATTAAAAAGGGTTTCAAGTTGCACTTCTTAGACTGTGCAGTGCCACTGTCTGAATCATCACAAAGTTTTGCACTGTCCCTGCTCTTTTGAGAAGTTCGGCTGTACTTCTTATATTCGAAGGAAGGACAGGGGAAGTGGTTGACTGCATAGTTAATAAAATGAGGCAGTGTAGTATGTCAGCAATGTAATTTTTGTTAGCTTGGCACTTCTTTCCCCAGCAAAAAACCTTTGCTGCAATCCTCCTTGGTTGTTATTTGTGCTGCTTCTTTAGACCTCCATGTTAGGAAGCAATAGGGATATACTTTTGTTTACTAGGGGGCATCTGTCCTGGATAGCTTCAGGTGGAGATAACTTGTATATTGCAGTGCTAAGGGAGACCCTCAGTTCAAATAAACCCTAAAATCTCTTAGATATTCTCTCTCTCTCTCTCTCTCTCTCTCTCTCTCTCTCCCCCCGCCCCGTGAAGATAAATTGAGACAGAGAGAGAGAGAGAGAGAGAGAGAGAGAGAGAGAGAAGGAAGGTTGCTCTGAGGCCCACTCCCAGTTTCTCCCCAGGATCAATATACCATCTGAACAAGTCTAGAATTTTGGATAAGATAGACCTTAGTTTGATGTAGAACATCAAATACAAGGCAATTCTTATGTTTCTGTATTTGTACAAAATATTAAGCGTTACAATAAAAAGCAATTATAGGATCCACACTTTGTGCAAAGACAAAATGAGAACATAAAGTACAGTATCTTATACTATTATCTCATTTGATCGTATGCTGATGATTTCAGTGAAGGAAATTTCTGTTTAAAGTATGAGCCCGTCTTGCACTTTTAAATCAAAATGTTTCATAGTAAAAATGCCAGTAGCAAACTGATGTGAATATAAGCATTACATGAACTCTAAAAAATACAGATTACAGTGAATGTTAGTAAATTCTGCAAGGTTTGTTTCATGGCAGTAACTAAATTAAACTCAATGACCGTTTAATTTTATTCTAGTTTAATTCTGTGTAATGGATGAATTAAATGTTTGAGCTGGTGGGTTGCAGTTACTTTTTGTAGATTTTCACTTGTATCTAGTGATTTATTTCTTGTGATTTATTTTTTTGCTATTTCTTAGATGTAGACTTTCAGCTTCTTGGGAGCAGTATGTAATCTATGTACTACAAAAATCATTTTGGTTTTAGTGCATTTATGGCCAGTTATGCACACAAGGGAACAGCCTTTCCCCAGACAACTGGTTGTTTACTGTGTTCTGTCCTGTCCTTATGACAAATACTAGGAAAACTTGACTGATTCTATTTATTTTCGGAACTTAGAGTTTTGCAATATATTTTTCATGTCTTCCAAAGGAAAATCCATCAACTATAGTTATTTCTGTTCTATTGGCTATGACAAGGCTAACTTAGCTGGTTTGTCACTCAGCTCACACTCTGATCTTAACAATCTGTGACTTCCTGAAATGTTTCCCACATCTTCTTTGAGAGGTACACTTAATTTCCAGGTATTGAAGATAAGCCAAATGATATCTTAATCAAACAGAAAATATTAACAAGGCTAATATTGTGTATAGATCTCACTTTCTGACTGTTATTTCAATTTGGATCTTGGATCAGAACTCAAAAATTCCCTACACTACTTTGTGTCATGAATTACTCCACACGGCAGTGGGAAACATGTGTACTTAGATATTTTCACTGGCTAAAAAGTATGTGAAAAAAAGGACACAATGTCTTTAACAAACGAAAAGAGGAAGAATTATGATATTTTGTATCATAAGGTTGTGCAGCTGTTATGTTTCAGAATATGTTGGTTTCCAGTTACTTAGAAAACATGAGAGCAAAACATGAAAATCTGTACCGTACTGCTGGCAGTCATCCTAGGGGTTAGTGTTGACCTGATTTCCTGCATGTGTCATAGCATTCAGCAGGAATTAGAATGAGGAAAAGGTGTCCAGTTGAATGAGAATAGTGAATATATTAGAGGCAGCATTTTAAAATATGTAATCATTCAGGTTTGCTGGCCAAAGACTAGGTACAGTATTCATATACTTACAGAGTAGACCTAGAAGTCAGTAAAGAGATTATGGTAGGCTTGGCCAAAAAGTTCTCGTCATGTGCTAGAAACAACATTCTACTTAACAAGGCAAGAACAGACATTGCATGGAGAATGAAAATATGTAACAGAAGGATCCTGGGAGACAGTATTACTTCAAGAATCACACTTTTAGGGAACAGTACAACCCCTAGTTTACCATAAGGTCCAAATAAGGGGTTTTGGTTTTGTTCCACTGAAACTTAAGTTAGTAAAGTTTAGCTTAACACTGCCATTTGTTTAAAGTGAAACAAAATATTAAAATGTAAAAGTAAGTTTTAATGAGTTTTTCCATTGTTTTTATTGTTTTGTTTTGTTTGCTGCTTATTGATAATTTTTCAGCTTATTCTTGGTATTTTAAGCTTTTAGAATTTTCATTGTTTCATTTTATAGCACGGTTTGCTTTTGCTTTATGTTTGCTACTAATATGTAAGTAGGAAAGTGATTTACATTTTTTAAAAAATATGTAAGTGGCCTTCCTCCATGTCCATAGAAAAAGTTAATTTTTTAGTTTAGTGCTACCAGTGTCCTAACTATGCAGTGTAACAATCCATATATGAAAAGCAACTTAGCTTCCCTTGTTCACATGTGGTGGAAACCTCAGCCTCATCTGTATAGCCACACAACCTTTGTCCACAGAGCTATCATTGGCAGTTTCAGAGCTGCCACAAATAATACAGACTGCACTGTTCTAATAACCATGGAAATTCTACCAAGGATGGATTTTCTCTTTTAAATAAAGCGGGATTGAGAGAGCATATGAAAATACTGTAATTACACCTTACATGACTTAGGCATGAAATATTTGAAAAACCGCCTCCTTCCCTGCAGACCTTTGGTGTTAATATCAGTAGTGGGACCCTCTTGATGGTACCACCATCCTCAGAAGTTAAGTGGGTGGTGGCCCAGGAGAGGGCATTCTCTGTGGAAGCTCCCAGGTTGTGGAACTCACTCCCCAAAGAGTTGCATCTGACACCTTCATTGTATAGTTTCTGTCATATGCTGAAGATGCAACTCTTTGCCCTGGCCTTTGGTACTTGGCATATGTGTTTTCAGGACCCACCCTAATTCATGTGATTGCATTTGGTTTAAGCTACGGTCCTAACCTCAGGTTGAAGTAGCTTCGGGCTGAGCGTTTTTGGGTTGATCTCTGCGGTGACCTGGAAGTAACGGAACGCGTTACTTCCGGGTTTTGCCACCCGCGCATGTGCAGACGCAAAAAATGATGTCGCATGCATGCACGGAAGTGGTGAATCGCAACCTGCGCAGATGCGCAGTCGCGGGTTGCGTTCGCTTCAGGATGCGAACGGGGCTCCGGAAAGGATCCCGTTTGCATCCAGAGGTACCACTGTATTTTTTATATTGAATTTTGAATTGTCTGCTTTGGAAGCTTAGGGTGATGATTAAGCTAAATAATAAGATCTGTTTAGGCTGAAGAATGCTTTTTTGTAGAAAAAGCAAGGGTTTGTATAATCATAATGAAATTTTGTGCCTGAGTAAGGTGAAGCTTGGGACGTGGGTGGCGCTGTGGGTTAAACCACAGTGCCTAGGACTTGCCGATCAGAAGGTTGGCAGTTCGAATCCCCGTGACAGGGTGAGCTCCCGTTGCTCGGTCCCTGCTCATGCCAACCTAGCAATTCGAAAGAACATCAAAGTACAAGTAGATAAATAGGTACCGTTCCGGTGGGAAGGTAAACGGCGTTTCCGTGCGCTGCTCTGGTTCGCCAGAAGTGGCTTAGTCATGCTGGCCACATGACCCGGAAGCTGTCTGCGGACAAATGCCGGCTCCCTTGGCCTATAGAGCAAGATGAGCGCGCAACCCCAAAGTCGGTCATGATTGGACCTAATGGTCAGGGGTCCCTTTACCTTTACTTTAAGGTGAAGCTTCCCACTTGCACAAATGATGCACTTGCTTATTTTGGACAATTTATTTTCTTTCACTCTTTATGGGCTAGGGGGAGGAACTGAGGAGGGTCCTGCAGCCTCACCCACTGAACATGAACCAACTTACTGGGTCCTCCTCTGTAATCATAATCATAATTATAATCATCATAATTTAATTATTTATACCATGGCCATCTGGCTGGATTTCCCCAGCCATTTGGGTGGCTTCCAACACATATAAAAACATAATAAAATGTCAGAAATTAAAAATTTCCCAGTAACAAGGCTGTCTTCAAATGCCTTCTAAAAGTTGTGTAGTTCGTTATCTCCTTGACATCTGATGGGAGGGTGTACCACAGGGAGGGTGCCACTGCCAAGAAGGCCCTCTTGCCGCACTTTCAAACCTGCTGTTGCAACTACCAGAGTTCAGAAGTTGCTCTTTTAAAAGCTAGGCAAAATAAGGGGGGGGGGGAATGTGAGATTCTTAGAATGTTGCACTAGTAACGCCGTTGAGTACTAAACATAGAATCATAGAACTTCATATTTTAAAACCTTGTATTGATTTACAGAATATGCACCAACCATGCTAATGGGTAAATTTCGAAAAACTTAGAAGTTGTAAAGTTTTAGCTACTAGAGGTGTAAAACTGTATCCTTGGGAAAGCATGTGGGATCAAACAACTTCACTTAGCTAAATGTAGCCAATTCTGTTTTGTTTTCTTTTAACATTAAGTGCCTCATTTGTCTTTTCTATTTTGTTGCCTCAAGTTAGAATCTCACAGTAAGTAAATATTTGTTGGCTCTAGTCATGCACGGAAAAGGTTGCTTGCAGTATTTGGTGAAAACATTTGCTTTCCTGATTTCTGAGCCGTTGTAGGAGTATGGTAGCACTCTATTCAACACACAGGCAGAGAGGATAGCTATTTAAGAGGAATCGCGTGAGCTTTTGTAAAAGGGATTACCAAGTAGTCCTGAAGTTGTGGTCCTTGTGATTGGGAAAAAGACTTTTTACATATGTTCTCCCCCCAATCCCAAGTATTGTGGGACTGCCTACCTGCTGGCTGCTTCAATGACACGGGAATATTAAAAAAATACATGGGGGTTGGCAGGAGTAGGTAGGAAGAAGGAAGAACCAATCAAATAGTCTCTCACACAGTCTCTGACACTTGAGAGCTTTGTTCTTGTGAAATTGTTTTACAATGGTACCTTGGGTTACATACACTTCAGGTTACATAGGCTTCTAGTTACAGACTTTGCTAACCCAGAAATAGTACCTCGGGTTAAGAACTTTGCTTCAGGATGAGAACAGAAATTGTGCAGCGGGGATAGAGCGGGGATAGAGTGGGGGTAGCCCATGCATAACCCTCAAGATACTGTTACACTCCCAACTCCTATCAGCCCCAGTCAGGATAACCATTGGTGGGGGGGGGGTGATGGGAAATGGAGTATAATAGCATCTGGAGGGCACCACCTTGGTTATCCTTGGGAATAAAGCCATTGTGGTTGTGGTAACTATGCTACTTTCTTAGTATTAGTCCTTTTGTGATGTATGTTAG